TGGGTCTCTACACGGGGCAAAGTTGCGTGGGATGCGCCACCTGCCTCTGAAGTGTTGACGCTTGAGGAACGCCGGGGAGTAGACGTGAGAGACCCGGAGAGTATTCCTGAAAGACTTGCGGAGCTGCTGGACAAGAAGAGGGATGCTGAAAGCGTGCGGGAGATTTTCAACCTTTTTTCGCATGGGGTTTTGCACAAAGGACCGGACGCGGCCGTTGCTAGTATGGTGAACAATCCAACAGCAGATGAACATCCTGAGAAGCATGTTGCGGTTGAAGATCAGCAAGCTGATGCCCCAGACTACCCAACTTCGTCAAAGAAGAACAGATACACCGTGATGTCGTATGGTGAGGAACAGTTGGCCAATCGAGTGGAACAAGAGCTGATTGAGGCTAGCATAGCACCAGCGCAAGCTGAGGTTGTAGGTCTTGAGGGCTTCTATGGGGAAAAGAGAGAGGCGTGGAAAATGTCGCTGGAGAAGGAGTATGCCAAGATGGATGGAGTTCTAGAAGAGGCTCTACCTGAAGAGCTGAGGTCCAAGTTGGGGCTGCCTCCGGATGCGCCATTGCCAAAGCCTATACCCAGCAAAGTCGTGTGTACCCTGAAGCCTAACATCGACGGTTCCTCGGAGAAGCTTGAAAAAAGTCGCTTGTGCGCCTGCGGAAACTTTGAGCAAGGAGTGGACGATAATGGGGAACCCTGGAGTTCATCTAATATTCCACCAGAAATCGTGAGATGTTTTACTTCTCTGGCAGCGAGCAATGTCACGTGGACACTTGGCAGTCTGGATGTTGAGGCGGCATTTCTTAACGCGGAAATCACATCAGGAGACCCGGTTATTATCATGCCCCCGAAAGTCATGAAAGACTTGGGTATGGTGCGCCCTCGAACCTTGTGGATTGCCAGAAGATTGATCTACGGCCTTCGCCGAGGACCGACAGAATGGGAGCGCGAAAGAGACCATAAGGTTGATCATGCAAAGCTGGAGGCCCAGGATGGTGATCGTCATGGCGCTCTACACTTGAAGCCGTTAAGCTTGGCTGCCGGACTATGGAAGGTGACCAACTCTAAGGGAGAAACGCTGGGAGCCTTTTGTTGCTATGTTGACGACGGCTTGGTGGTTGGGGATGCGGAAATCATCAGACGGGCGATGGCTTTTGTGAAGAGTCTATGGGCAGTAAAGGGGCAAGGAGTCTTGAATAAGGAGGGCGCTGGGGTCGAGCAGGGCATCCAAGTTGATGAAGACATGGTGCTACTGCCAAAGACTGAGTTGCGATTCTTGGGGGTAGAAATCGAGGTGGATGGAGCCAATCTAGCGTTGCATCAGCACAAGTATATGGCATGTGAGTTGCGAAAGCGCGGATGGTTGGACCTCAAAGGCAGTGACTGCCTACCTACGCCTAAGGAGGGCTTACTGGCTCCGCCACTCAGAGACGAGACGTTTGAGCAAACCAAACTTCGCGCTCAGAAGGAGGTGGGGACGCTCATGTGGATAAGTTTGCGCAGCAGACCTGATGTGGCGGCTTGCCTTGGGATAGCGGCTACCTTGGTGGCTACACATCCTGAGGAGAGTGTGAGATTGACGCGTGGAATTTGGCGCTTTCTAAGGGCAACTTGGGATGTTCGCTTGATGTTTCGTGCAAAACATGAAGAGACCCCGTCGCAGGTTGTGAGGATGACTGCTGATGCGAGTTTCGCACCAGGCGGAGCACGCAGCAGGACCGGTTATGCAATTTTTATGGGAGACCATTTGATTAGCTGGCGCTCGCAAAGGCAAGCGCTTGTTGCTTGGTCAGCAACGGAAGCAGAGCTGGAAGCGACCGCCACAGTTGTTCAAGATGGAGCCAAATTCCAGGAGACTCTTTCAGAACTAGTGGGTCACAAGTTGGAGCTTTTGTTGCAGAACGATAACTCTGGAGGGCTAACCTTGTTGACGCGGCAAAGGTTTTTTACACAAGACATGCGTACAAGGCACTTCGCGGTGAGGTGTGCATATGTCAGGGACCAGATAGCCGTGCTCAACATCGTATTGGAGCATAAGGGCACGGATACTCTTGAAGCGGATGCTCTCACGAAGGTGTTGTCCAAGGAGAAGTTGCGACAAGGCAGGCTTGGACTGCGACTCTTGAAGAAGTGACTGTAGCCGAGGCACGCATGCACTACGTACCAACCAAAGGTGACAAGTACGAGATCTTTCAAGAAGTGTAGTACTTGTCTGAATTCGATATCCCTTGCTTTTGAGAGTTTTGTGAAGGTGGCCAATCAGTAGAGGTAGCCATGTTTCTCAGGTAGGGGTGCTGTTGACTCGCGTGTGGACCGTCCACTGACCAGTACTACGCGAGAGTAGATGTGATATGCTGCTTTTGATGCCCGAAGGTATGTGCTAGATCTTTGTTGCACAATGCTCCAGCAAGGAGGAGTGTTAGTGGGCATGCAGCAAGGGTGCACTTATCAAGAAGTGTACCAAGTTTTGAGCGTATCCTGCGCAAGGATGACACGCTTGCAGGATCATTCGCACTATCCGGACGATATCTGGCTCAAGAATGAGCACGGGCAAATCGAGAAGTGCCTCTTGGGTGGGGTGGGATATTCAGGGTGTTTTCGGGGGTTGGACCCCGGAGATAGCCTGGTACCCTAGTCCTGTCCTTGACCTCCCCTCCCTGTAGTCCTGAACCCAGGTTGCTTGGGGGGAGTTCTTTTGACTTTTGAGTTCCGGGTCGGAGATGTCTTGTTGATGATGGCTTCCTCGAATTATGATTCTCTCGATGATGTCCCCTTTAGCATTCGCCAGCAGTTAGCATCACCTACACCATCACACTTCAGCAATGTCTCTGATTCGGGCCATAACCTTTCACAGGTTTGTTTGGGGTTTAGGGTTTAAGGTTTAGGGTTTAGGGTTTGGGGTTTAAGGTTTAGGGTTTAGGGTTTGGGGTTTGGGGCTTGGGGTTTGGGGTTTGGGGTTTGGGCTTTGGGGTTTGGGGTTTGGGCTTTGGGGTTTGGGCTTTGGGCTTTGGAGTTTGGGGTTTGGGGTTTGGGGTTTAGGGTTTGGGTTTAGAGGGCTTCGGGTTGTGAGGCCCTAAGCCCTGAAGCCTAAACATCGAGCCCCAAAACCTCAATAAACCTACAGCATGTGCAGGAGAAAGGCGAATTCAGAAGCGCCGTTTTGACCAGGCTTGTCCTTTAAGGTATATAGGGTTCAGGGCGTAGGGTTAAAGGGTTAGAGCATTACCACTCAGTTGCCTCTTACAACCGATACGGGAAGATAGCAAACTCCCGAACCTGCCTTTCAACCATTCCGATATTCACAACAGCCAGAGCTCGATACATTCGCGTTTGGAGAAGCAAGTATCGCAAGGTGGCAGCCAGAAACAGAGACTCAGCTTTGGACGACCTGAAAGCCCTAAACCCTGAGCCAAACTCAAACCCTAAACCACCCTAAACCCTAAACCCTTAACCCTAAACCTTAAACCTCAGAGCGGCAGGTTTTTTCGGCTCCGCGGGCTTGGGGCTTGGGTGTTTCGGGTTGCGACCCCCGAAAGCGCCAGTTTGCCCCCAAACCGTTCCCTTGCTGAGGCGGCGGCCGGTCACGGTGCCGTCCGGCAGCAAGTTTCCATGGCCCTTGAAGGTCAAGATGTCGTTGTTGAAGTAGCCTTAAGACATTCAAGCCTGGGTTTGGGGCTTAGGGTTTGGGATTTTCGTTCGGGAAAAAGCCACGCACAAGAGCCCTGGAACCGAACGAAAATCCTAAGCCCGAAACCTTCACCAGAAAGAGCCCTAGAGTCCTGATGTCCTACACCCCAAAGCTTCGCCAGACAACTAGAAAGTTTTCTGAATCCCTGAGGAGGGAAGGAAGCCTGTCAGGGTCTGAAGCCCTGTCAACTGTCCGCAAAGGAGGAGAACACAGGCTGTAGCTTCACCAAACAAACGTGCAAGTGACTAGGGTATAGGGTATAGGATCCCTCTTGCGGAGCACATTACGAAACTAGGGCTGTGTAGTGGCTCTTGAGACAACTTAGAGTTCTCAAAGTCTAGGGTTCGGGCTTAGGGTCCAGAGTTTCGGGTCCAGGGCTTTCATCTTCTTTAGCCCTAGTACCCAAACCCTTAAGGCAAGTTGTCCAGTGGCGCATTGCCATGATCTGCAAGATGTAGCCTGTGGCAAGCTTCATGCGCTTCATAAGGTCCCATAGGCGGGTGGGGTAGGGAACTACTCTACCTCAGCCCTATTTTTTGGGTCTTACCTGGGCCGTGAAAAGCTGGCTACTTGGCGCGGAGAAAATCTGGGGCAAAACCCTCATCCCTTAACATTACGGGGCTCAGAGTATTATAGGGTTCTTTAGGGAGGAGGGGTTCAAGTGGGGTAACCCAAGTTTCCCCAATACTCTCCAATACTCCCTAAGGCTCCCGAAGCTTCCCGAAGGTTCCCTAGGTACCATAATCATAGGGTTCAGCCGAACTGCAACCCACAATACAAGCCTGCCGCTGACCGAGGCTTGGCGTTGAGGGAAGCTGAAGTCACACTGGCAAATGTCAAAAAAACACAAACAAAAATGAACCCGAAATGCTGAAGAAAGCTAGGACCACTCTAGACTCTGACCCCTGAACCCTAAACCCTAAAGCCTAAACCCTAAACCCTGAACCGTAAACCCTAAACCCTAAACCCGACCCGAAAGAATGAGGAGGCCTGAAGTTCAGGAAAGCTAAGCCCTTGTAAACAACCCCACCGAGAATTCAACAACTCTCCTTCGTCCTGAAGGGTTTAGTGTTCAACAACTGAAACAGTTCTAGTCCTGCTTTGTCATCACTTACACGCGCGCATGAGGTGCGTGACTGTATTTGTAGGCGGGCAACTTGACTCAAGAGCCCTCTGAGCCCTGAGCCCTAAGCCGCAGAAGAATGCGAAAACCCTTCATCAAGCATCTTTCAAGAGCCGCTCAACCCCAAACCCTAACCCCGAGGTAAAACCCTACCTTTCCTGGAAGCACACAACCGAATTCTTCCGCTTTAAGAGCCTTTGAGTGCAATCCCTGCCGGCAAGAGGCTCAGCGTTGCCAGCGGAACCACGGCCCAGAACCTCAACTGCGGCAAGGGTTTAGGGTTTAGGGTTTAGGGTTTGGGGTTTAGGGTTTAGGGTTTAGGGTTTAGGGTTTAGGGTTTAGGGTTTAGGGTTTAGGGTTTAGGGTTTAGGGTTTAGGGTTTAGGGTTTAGGGCTCGAGCCTCGGCCCTGGCTTTGGGCCGGGTGGCGTGGCATCACTGAAGGAGCCCTTGCCAGAGACCGGCTTGTGCAGCGTGATGTTGTCCTTGCGAGGGGAGCCTACACCTATACAGCCCCTAAAGTCTTGCAGCCCTCAACCCTAAACCCTAAACCCTGAACCCTGAACCCTAAACCCTAAACCCTAATCCAGCATCCGGAAACCGGTGCAAGCGCTCTGCGAACCATGAGGCCCCATATCCCTGCACGAACACAATCTTAGGCTGCGGGCTTTGCTTTATGGTGTGTTTTGTTGCTTACTTTTGTGGGCTGCTCAGGGTTATCTAGTATATGTTTAGGGCACTCTAAACAAACCCTGAACCCTGAACCCTCAACCCTAAACCCTAAACCCTAAACCCTAAACCCTCAGGGTCATGTAGTATATGTTTAGTTTAAGGCACTCTAAACCCGGCTGTTGAGGCTGCGGGGTTTAGGGTCGCTAGTGGCGAAGCTCTGACGACCTTACCTCATATGACCCCTAGCCTAGCTTATATGCTCAAATCTATTGGGTTCGGGCATTGGGGTTTCAGGATTTCAGAGTGAGCATTCTCCCGCCAGTAGCATGAAAACGAACAAAGCATACGATTGTGCTTAATCAGTGCGAGTAGGTTAAACCCTAAACCCTTTTGTACTTGACCCTAAACCCTAAACCCTATCCCCTAACATCGCCTATGGTATCTACTCTCAAAGGATTAAGACTCGTACCCCTAAGGCTGCAACCCGAAGAGGTGGCCTGAGTATAACCCTAGTATGGCCCTTATTTTCCCTTATTAGACTAGTCTTAAAAAGGCCCCCAAACCCAAGGATACGACCTGAGGGGGTCCAAGGTAGTCCCGATATTGGGTTTAGGGTTTAGGGTTTAGGGTTTAGGATGATACTTGAGCTGCATGCCCAGGCACGTAGAGCGGGGAAGCCCCAGTGAAGGCGACTCCCATAAAATGTCCGAAGCCTCAGTGTGCTGGTTTTAGGGTTTAGGGTTTAGGGTTTAGGGTTTAGGGCGATTGTGCTCAAATCCTTGCCCAACCATCCCAATTGCCAGGCCCTAGTCTTAGCAGGGAATTAGGACATGAAGTTACGGGTTTTAGGTGTTTAAGGTTTTGCTACTATGTGCTTAAGATCCCCCAAAGAGTAAAAGAAAAGAACCCCAGATTACCCTTATAAGGAAGAATATATGTGTTTCTTCATTTTCTGTGTGGTTCTTAAGCAAGTAATCGTTTGGTGTAAGGCTTTGGGTGATACAGAATGAAAATCAGTGGCCTCCTCCGGAGACTTCCTTTGAGAAAAAAACTGTTCGTGCAGATAAGGGCGCATATAGGGAGGATCGCCTGATGAGGATTGCCGTGTTTTTTGGATTCCCTCTAACCCTAAAACCCTGAACCCTAAAACCCTAAAACCCTAAAACCCCCAAACCCTAAAACCCTAAAAACCCAAAACCCTAAAACCCTAAAACCCTAAAACCCCAAAACCCCAAAACCCTAAAACCCCAAAACCCTAAAACCCTACAACCATGAAACCCAAAAACCCGAAACCCCTAAAACCCTAAAACCCAAAAACCCAAAAACCCAAAAACCCTAAAACCCCAAAACCCTAAAACCCTAAAACCCTAAAACCCTAAAACCCGAAAACCCCAAAACCCTAAAACCCTAAAAACCCTACAACTCCAAAACCCTAAAACCCTAAAACCCTAAGACCCCAAAACCCTAAAAACATAAAACCCTAAAAACCCTAAAACCCTAAAACCCTAAAACCCTAAAACCCTAAAACCCCAAAACCCTAAAACCCTAGAACCCTAAACCCTCAACCCTCACTGGGGAAATGTATAGATCAAGCCCCGGAGCTCGGCGAGAGGGACGAGCAGATGCAGGCCAGAGTGAGACAGAGGTAGCATCCTTTCAGCGCGTACCACTTGTTGCCTGAGCAGGAAGGGTTTAGGGTTTAGGGTTTAGGGTTTAGGGTTAGAGGCAGGACGACTCGAACTCCGAGTAAGGCCGGGGAAGACCCCCCCCCGGCCCCAAACCCAAAACCCTAGCGAGCAACAAGAGTCCCACTCCTACTAGTATTACCGCACGACCCCGAACATACTCGCAAATAACCCTAAACCCCAAACCCCTCCGTCAAACGTATATGTAAACCTTAACCGCCTCGTGGGCACTCTGCGTTTTCCTTCGTGGGCATTTTGTATTTTCGTGAGCATTGTGCAAAATCCGTGAGCATTGTGCGCTTATTCGTGGACATTGTGCGTTTTTTCGCGGGCATTGCGAAAAGCTCGCGGGCATTGTTCGTGCTTTTTGTGGGCTTTTAGGTTGCAAAAGATTAATGGAAGCCTTCTTGTCGTAAAGTTGTGCTAAATAGTGCTAGACAGTGCTTAAATAGTGCTTGAATAGTGCTGATAGTGACAAATAGTGCAGAATCATGCGACAAAGTGCTAAAATAGTGTTACATTAGTGCTAATTGTGCAAATAGCGCAAAAAAAGTGCTAACTCGTGTGAAAATAACAAAAAGCACAAAGGACCACCATCATTAGCACAAAACGGCCACATGACAAACCTTGCAACCAAAATGGCCAAGACAGCCAAGAACTACCTGCAAAGAACGCTCTCAGACCTAGGTAGTGCCTCATCTACCAGTAATCATGGCTTGAGCTTTTCATGATATTCATCCCAACCTGGGTTCAGGGCCTACTGCGCCTGAATCTTTTTGCAGACGATGTAAGCTAGCTTAGGGGACTTCTCTACTTGCACAGAAACCTATGAGGCCTGCTGGATACCCAGGAGCGCTTGTCTATTGTTCTGGGTTCTCTGAAACCCTAAACCCTAAACCCTAAACCCTAAAGACTACACCGGCTCTTGGCAAACGGTCCCAGGCAAGATACCAAGAATCGTCATCACGGAGGACCTTGGCTGAGTGGTGCTTTCAAGAACCTCCGAAATTTTTCTAAACCCTAAACCCTAAACCCTAAACCCTTAAAACGGAAATAAGGGAAATTTAAAAGTTAATCCGTGGAGGTTAGCGCACGTGAGCTGCCCTAGCGGGTATACCTTTGGTTCGTGGAGGACTGATCCGAATGATGAGAAGCTGCTGCCAGTTCGAGCGGCCTGACTCAAGAATTTCGGGCTTGGGGCTTCATTAGGAAGCCCTAAGCCTTAAACCCTAAACCCCCTAACTCCTAAACCCCAAACCCTAAACAGGCACCCCGTTAGGCCATCGTCCTTGCGGTCTCAGAAGCCACACGGCGGCTCCGTGCGCGACGTCTACGCAGACGGACAGAAGCACGGCAACGATGAAGATCTGGGAGCCTTGGGGAGTTGAGGGTTTAGGGTTTTGGGGGTTTACGAACATAAGGAAACCCTAAACTAGACCGCAAGATAGTAGGATTGCCTTATGGTAAACCCCCTCTAAACCCTGAACCTGAATCCAGAACCCCAAACCCCAAACCCTAAACCCCAAACCCCAAACCCTAAACCCTTCCTGGGATGCGTGGCAGCCGAGCGGCGGAAGTGAAGATTTCCAAGATCCCAGAGGGCCAACCTTCGTACTTTGAGGGTCTGTTTTGGGGTTTAGGGTTTAGGGTTTAGGGTTTAGGGTTTAGGGTTTAGGGTTTAGGGTTTAGGGTTTAGGGTTTAGGGTTTAGGGTTTAGGGTTTAGGCCCCACAAACCCTTCACCCCGAAACCCTAAACCCTAATCCTTCACAACCAAGCAGAAGCCGCAGAATGGTGGAGATGTCTTCTCGCCCCCTTTGCGTTTGGGGCGGGAGCTAAGTTTTGGGGTTTAGGGTTTAGGGTTCAGGCTCCCGGTTGGCAAAAACCACACACAACCAAAGAGAAGCAAAACAGAAAACAAAAAGGCAAAAACACGTGCCCTTTAGGGTTTAGGGGGTTTGGGGTTTAGTGGTACGGGGTTCTCCAGGCAGAGGCTTCTGCATTCTGAGGTCTACAGCTTTCCAGGGTTTCGGAGGTCCAAAACCTCCTTTGGGCGTGACCTGCCTGGACTTCCCCCCCCCACCCCCCTCCAGAGTACGTAATGATCTTTATAGGTCTACCGGCTCAGCTTCTCACCCGAAGACCTAAACCTTCAACCCTAAACCCCAAACCCTAAAACCCTTCAATCCCTAAATTCCCAAGGCCGGCACTGACCCCCCTTGAACCTGGAAGCTCAAGGGGAGGCCGAGATCCCAGAAACGACTATACTCGAGCCTGAAACATGGGATGTTCCCCCTTATACCAACAGTCCTTAATAGGGATTACAAATAGGGGGGGGGGGTACTATAATCCCCATGAAGGCATCCCAACCCCAAACCCCTCAGAGGCACTGAACCCTACAGGGTTAAGGTTTAGGGTTTACGTAGGGTTTAGGGTTTAGGGTTTAGGGTTTAGGGTTTTAGGGTTTAGGGTTTAGGGTTTAGGGTTGCGGCCAAAGGCACGCCCTCAAAAGAGAGCCTGGTGGCAGAAGGCCTGTCGTGGGAAGTGCCCAGACATGGAGGTTTCAGGGTTTAGGGTTTAGGGTTTAGGGTTTAGGGTTCAAGGTTGAGGTTGTCAAAAACTTCAAGGCTCAGGGTTTTCGTTTGCAGGAAGCAGGGTGTGCTCCGCAAGTTGAGCGCCCTCAACTTGCCCCTCCACCCCTAGAATCCCCCAAGCCCCCAAGAAGACACAAAGCCCATGCCCCGTAAGCCCTAAGCCCCTACAACCCCCCAACAAACAAGCAACAACCCCTAAAACGCAATGGCAACCCAGAAGCCCTTCAGCCCTGAAGCCCCCCAAATACACGATCCCTAAACCCCAAACCCCAAAAACCCAAGGCTCTAAGCCCGAGAGCCGAAGCTTCCCTTGAAGCGTTTGAAGCCAAGGCACAAGTGAAGTCGCGCATGGCCCAGGGACCCCAGCGATTCCTTCGGTTCGGGGGCGATTGGAGGAAGCTCGGAGGATGCTCGGGGGTTTTGGGGCTTAGGGGCTTTGGAGTTTAGGGGCTTAGGGGGGTTAGGGTTGGGATGTTCCCCCTTACACTAGCAGTCCTTAAGAGGGATAGTAGTACCCCCTGTTCTGGTCCCGATTAAGGACTGTTAGTATAAGGAGGAACATCCCAAAGCTTAGGGGCTTGGGGTTGGGGGAGTTCGGGCTTAGGAGATTAGGGGCTTGGAGGCTTAGGGGTTTCGTGGTCCTGTCACCCTCAACCCTTTAGATTCGTATGCTCTATCCCGCCAAACAAAAAGAGGCTTGAAACACAAACAGTAGGTCAAGGGGGACCGAACACATATCAATCGCAAGAGGGAACTCTGGGTTTTGAAGGCGGGTTAGATTGCTTGAGTGCCATGGACCTAGACCTGAACTCGGCGTGAATGAGCGGCCGATGACCAGTGCAAGTGAGGCGTCTCATCCTCATGAACAGTATTAACCCCAACCGTAATTGTCGAGTCTTTCCCCCCCCCCCCCCCGCCCACACCTGGCCCGACAAGAACCAAAAGCACCCACACACTTGCTGGCACAGCAAATAGGTCTCGGGTTCCGGGTTTAGGGCTCAGGGTTCTAAACCACCCCAAAACCCTAAACCCTAAACACCCCCCTGCACAAAATGGAAGACCAAGTGTCATGCGAGCCAGCAGACCGAAGATGATGCAGAGCATAATCGGAGAAAGGATCCCGATCTTGTCAGCAGGCAAGGGTCCAGAAGTGTGGGCTTTGGGGTTTGGCGCCCTAAACCATAAACCCTAAACCCTACACCCTGCTCTAAACCCTAGTCCTAAACCTAACTTAGCCCTAAGCCCCAAGCCGCAAACTGCCCTGTTCAGGGACGGGGGGGGGGGGGGGATCTTAGGGGAGCCGAGGGTTTAGGGTTTAGGGCAATCGCTGCCAGACTATATTTAAAAAAACAAAATGCATGAGAACACGAGTTCCGAATTCGAGCAAGAATGAGCTGGGGCTTCGAGCTTTTGGGGCTAGGGTTTAGGGTTTAGGGTTTAGGGTTCAGGGTTTAGGGTTTAAGGTGTAGGGAAGACTTGGGAGACTAGGGATTGAGGGTTTCAGTCTAATGGATTCGAGTTAAGGGCTTTGGGGGGTAGGGTAATCAGGAGCCCAACACGCCACCCAAGCCTCTGCCAGCCACACATATTGAAAAAGGGAACCTAGAACCGCCCCCCCCCCCAGAGGGGAAAACTGCTACCACGGCGCTACCAAAATCAAACCACATGAACCCCATTCCCCAAACCCTGAACCCGAACTAAACTCTGAACCCTAAACCCTAAACCCTAGCCCTAAGCCCTAAACCCTAAACCCTCCCAAACCCTGCACCCCCCTGTGGTCTTAGGACACCCGGCCAGCAGAGCAAAGCCCGCAATCTCCGAGGGCTCCCAGCCGTTGAGCCTTAGGTGGGCATCCTGTGACCTATCTTAGGGTGTAGGGTTTAGGGTTTAGGGTTTGAGGTTTGAGGGTTTAGGTTTAGGGTTGGGAAGTTTAGGGTTTAGGGTTTAGGGCTCAGGGTTTAGGTCCGGGGAAGCTTCGAGGAACATTTTGAGGAAAGTTTCGAGGAGTTTCTCTTTTGATTTTACTGCAGTCCAAGACCACTTCTCGCAGGGCTAGGCGCCCAACACAAAGGTGTGTCCTTCCTTCTTAGTAGGGAAGATTGCTTCGGAACCCGGCAACCGAGAACAGATGAAGTAGACTACTCAACAGCCTAGACGCCTAAACCTTAGAGCCCTAAACCCTAAACCCTAAACCCTAAACCCTAAACCCTAAACCCTAAACCCTAAACCCCTTAAATTTTACTCCTAAACCCTAAAGCCTCTGCCCTCTGCCCTGTTTGAACCTACAGTTCTCCCCCCTTGCAGGCCAGGAGCGTCCACCAGAGGGAGTAGGTTTGCGATGCGTATGCCGCCAGCCTAAGAGAGGCTCCCAAAGGGCCCCCGGTGTAGGGCTTGGGGGGGCTTGAGGCCGGTGGTTGCGCCATAGACCACGAAAGATATTGGGGGTCAGATTAGGGTTTAGGTTTTAGGGTTTAGGGTTTAGGGCTTCGGGTCTAGCATCGGGGGCTAGCCTGAGTGAATTCTTTTATCAACTAAACAGGCTGGCACGCAAGGGTTCAGGGCAGGGGGCTAAGCGTCTTGACATCTGTGTCCCACAGCCTGGAGCCTAGATTCCGCTGAAGATGTGGGCATCGAGATGAAACATGAAACCCTAAAACCCTAAAGCCCCATAACACCCTAAACCCTGAGGCCCTAAAACCCCCAAGATCTTGTTGCCACGCACGCTGCGAAGTCGGGAATGAAACCCTGAACTAATCCCTCAACCCTCATGCTTGGCTTTATGCGTCGGGGTCTTCGGAGTGGGTTTATAATATAGCTTCAGAATTTGTTGGATTCCAGGGACAAGGATGTGGCACTTTCATAGGGCGTGCGGGAAGGAGGAGATTCAGGTTTCCTCGTAGATGTCGCTAGTCTTGTGTAGATACCCACTTACCCTCCACGACCCCAAAGCCTTAGACGTATCCTTCCCGAACCCTCGGGCCTAAACCCTAAACCCTACACCCTAAACCCTAAACCCCTAACCCCTAAACCCTAAACCCTAAACCCTAAACCCTAAACCCTAAACCCTAAACCAGAGCCAGCTGCATGTTCAGCATCTCTGCGACGACCAGGAGGATGAAGGACTTGTGTGTGATGCCCTCGAGCCTGGGATGCGTCAACATTAAGGTTTAGGGTTAAGGGGTTAGGGTTTAGGGTTTAGGGTTTAGGGTTTATTGTTTAGGGTTTTTGGGTTTGGGGTTTCGTAGGGGACTTAGAAATTGGGTCGGTTCAGCAGGGGTTTAGGGTTCAGTAGCGTCTAGGGTTTAGGGTTAGGGTTTAGGGTACCTACAACAAATGAACCCTACATATGGCCCTACTTACAACTCATTGCTCAGGAACCTTCAACTGGAGGAGGCCCTAAAACAGTTCTGAACTAAAAACGTCTTCTCTCGGACAGGATAAATGCCGGCAAGAAGGTTCGAAAAGGTTCAGGATTCAGGGTGTCCTACACCCTAAAGTCTACACCTCGAACCACAAAACCTCATAATTGAAACCCCAGACCCGAAGCCCTAAGCCCGAAGCCTCAAGCCCTAAACCCGAAACCCTCGCTTAGACCCGGATTGGTCTTCTCATGATGCGATGAGTTGTCGTGCAATGCATCGGGAAGTGTCGGTGCTGTCCGCTGTGCGCTTCCCTCCCAGAGCTTTTTTCATGGAGTCCCAAAAAGAGTTTAGAGTTTAGAGTTTAGGGTTTAGAGTTTAGGGTTTAGAGTTTAGAGTTTAGAGTTTTGGGTTTAGGGTTGACTCGGTTTAGGTCCAGGGCTTAGCCAGCCAAGAAACATGCCGGTGGAGGGCAGCACGTAGGACCTTTCAGTGGCGCAGCCAAGCGAAGCTTTGAGTTCAAGATTTTGGGGTTTTGCGGGGGTTTCTACTTCTCCAGTTTCGGAAAGGGAGACAAGTGGCTTAGGGTGTAGAGGTTAGGGTTTAGGACTTCGGGTGTAAGGGTTTAGGGAACCTTTTGGGAATGTGTAGGGATTCTACCGCCGTGGCCGCTAGCCGAAGCCTACACCCGATTCTTCCCGACAAACAAGGTTAAAAGCTCCCGACTCCACTACCTCCAAGGTTTTTGGCGTATTGGGGGGGGGGTTGTGCAGTAGGAGTGGCCGTTTTCGCTCTTGGGCATACGGCTCTGAGGCCTGTGGTTTAAAGCTTTTAAGGCGGTGGGGTGCTGGTTTCGGGTTTTCAGTTCCAGGGCCCAACCCCTGCAACCTGAAGTCTCGCAGCCATGAATGAAGCCCTCCGCTTTTCCATGCTCGGAACATTCCTACCACACTCCATCCGAATATGCAAGCCTCTTGTCGGAGCCTCTTTGCGGAGCCTGTGCGAATGACTATCCATGTTCTCCCCTTGTATATATATATATACATACAGAGAAAGCGGCAAAGATGGTCGAAATAAAACCAAAAACCCTAAACCCGAAACCCTAAACCCTAAACCGCAAAGAAACGCATTCGAATAAAACCTCGGGCCCCCGTGCTCTCCGCCACGTCCTGGGGCGCCCAGCGCATAGCATTGCGGGGCCTTGAAGAGGAGGACCGTCCTTGCCCAGAATGGGTTTAGGGTTTAGGGTTTAGGGTTTAGGGTTGAAGCTTTGAAGCTTTGGGGGCGCAAAAGGCTGAAAAACCCTCCTGCTTATAGCCCTGAGCTCAAAACCAAAACCCTAAACTTCCAGCTCTAAATCCCTAAACTTAACATACGCAGAGCCACCCCTTGAGCCACTACACTCGCTAGACTCGAAATGAGCTGAAAGCCCTACAGCCTGTTCTTGCCCCCTTGGGTTGGGAGACACTTTCTCCAGATCCCTTTGCACTGCAACTACATGGTAGGTTCCCTAGATCACTGTCCCTTTATCGAGAGCCGCTACAGCACACAACCTAAGCCCATACTTAGGGCACCGAGGAGGATCCTCCTGAACGGTAGGTATCTCATGGCCCAAGGGTTCAGGGGTTCGGGTCAGGGCTTGAAGTGAGCACCTGAAACCAATGGGGTCTCGTTTTATAGGAAGCCCTCGCCTCTAATTTTAGGGTAGTTCCATGGTCCCTCAAGATGGGGACCTGAAGACGGGAACCCCTACTTACCCCGCATGTACTCTATGCAACCCAAGGGCCCATACTTCACATGAAGGTAAGGGAGCATGTTCAGGGACCATGCAACCTCCCTCAGATCGAATCCCCAGACCTGAGTGCAAGCTCGAAACGCTGCATACCGAACGCCCGAAACATCCCGGACGAAAAGCCAAGGGTTAGAGCGGTTTATGGCTTGGCGTACTGACTCTTCAGAATGTAGGGTTCGAAGAGTTATGCGCTAGGGGCTTCCGTGACAAGCGGTCGCGTATGATCCAGAAACGCCGCCGCGCGTCGTTCCCAAGGAGACCACAAGAACCACATTCCGGTTCACGAATTCTAGACCTGCCCAGGGGCCTAAGCAAGGTTTTTGGGGGCAGGATTCTGCTAAAAATAGGTGCATAGGGTGCTTGTCCCGGGTGTGGGGCTTGTTAGGACTTGGTTTTGACATTAAAAAGCTGAACCCTGAAGCTGCTTTGGGGTACCCCGAAGATCCACAAAACCAAACCCTAAACTCCGACTAATCCTTGGTCAAAGATCAAGCGGTTTAGGGTTTAGGGTTTAGGGTTTAGGGTTTAGGGTTTCATGTTGTGGTTCTTGTCCAAGGGAAGGGTACTAGGTATGGGCCCTAGACCCATACCCGAAGGGTCCCTTTGCGCTCCCAGCAGCCCAGATGCACGGACTGATGAAACTACATGTGTACGTGTATCAATTTCCTAGGCTTTAAAAGATATGTGTGTCCAAATTTAAAGAGGAGGCGCATGACAAGTCCAAACTTTAAACGCTATGTGTATCAAATATCCAGACTTCAAAAGATGTGTGTGCCAAATATCCAAACTTCAGGAGTTAGTGTGGCCGAAGTCCAAACTGTAAGAGATATGTGTATCAAAAATCCAAACTTGACTGACTCCAAACTTGCCGGGACAAGTGTCAGAACAACATGACTGGCTGACTGGCTGAAAACTTCTGAAGAAGAAGAAGCTGCATCCATGACTGCGCGCAAAGCGAGAGGTCGTTTTCACTTGTTGGTCTGTGTCGGGTCATAAACAAACATTTACAAATCTATCTTCTCTGAATATTTAGCTAATCACACTGGCTTTCAAGACAATTCCTATTCAGGGCCTCTGTTGATTTCCGTGCCGGCCTTCTTAGCAAGTGTAACCGAAAGGGGATCATCATCTCCTCCCCGAAAAGCACCCTTCCCTCGAATACGAAACGCCCGTTACAGTACATGCTATTCCTCTGTTTGGACATGTCTATTCCTGGGGGTAGAGGGGGTTTCATGTGGGAGGAGAGTAAGTGACTGCCTTAGCGCAAGATCCCTTCTCTCGTCAACCCACCCCTAACTTCGAAGCTTGCTTAACCCCTCTTTGGTGGGCTTGGTGTGAATGCCCAAGCCCTAAACCTTAAACCGGCCTCGTTCTTTCATGAGGGTCCCGAAGGGTGCAAACGAGGGGATTGTGAGGGCCCATTTTGCCCCAACAAAAGCCTTAATAAAAGAAAATAAAGGAACATGTAGCCGAAACACCCCCCCAGTCCCTTACACCCACATAAGCCCTGAAGACTTGAGCACGAGGGATTTGAGAAGGTCCGGGGCGTATGGCGGGGTGTGAGGCTGCCGGCAAGGAGCTTGGGAAGCTTAGCGTATGTAGCTTGGTCACGGGAAAGGCAAAACGAAAAGGCAACTCGGGCGTCCAAGCGTAAGACGATCATGCCTCCCTGTCTCTACCCACGAGGGAATAACTACACTGTAAGAAGGCGCCCGGACCCTAAAGCCTAAAATGAGCCTCATATCCAAGAAAATGCACAGGGACCTGCATAGCTCAGGTTCACTGCGATCCAGCCGACACCAGATCTCAAGCCTGGAAGGTATGGGTTTAAGGTTTAAGGTTTAGGGTTTAGGGTTTAGGGTTTAGGCTTTAGGCTTTAGGGTTTAGGTTTAGGGCTTGAGGTTTAGGGATTTGTGTCTAGGGCTTGGGGTTTAGAGTTTGGGGCTCAGGGTTTAGAACATTCCACAGGCGTTTGCCTTCCCCCCCCCCCCCCCCCCCCCCCTGTTACCCCGCCCCGCCCCGACCGCGAGCCCTGAACCCTAAAACCCTCGAATAAGCCCGAAACCCTAGAACCCTGAAACCCTGAAACCCAAAACCTTGACACCCTAGAACCACGAAAACCCTAAACCCCAAAGTTCTAAACCCTACAACCCTAAACCCTAAAACATCCCTCAGCCCTAGAACCCTGAAACCCAAAACCCCTAGTAACCAAAACCCGAGAACCCTAAACCCCCCCAGAACCCTAAAACCCTAAACCCTAAACACTTGAAACCCGCGACCCTGGAACCCAAAACCCTCGACCCTAGAACCGTAAACCTCTAAACCCTGGACACTTGAACCCCGAAACCCTGGAACCCAAACCTTAGAACCTACAACGCCCCTAGAACCCTAAAACCCTAAACCCTAAACACTAGAACCCTAGACCCCCCCAGAACCCTAAACCCCTAAATCCCAAACCCTACGCACAAAACCCGAGAACCCCTAAACCCCTAAATCCTAAACCCTCGCCCGAAACCCTAAAACCCTAAAACCCTAAAACCCTAAAACCCTAAAACCCTGAAACCCTAAGACCCTAAGACCCTAAACCCCTAAACCCCTAAAACCCTGAAACCCTAAAACCCTAAAACCCTAAACCCTAAATGCAAAACCCTAACCCCTAGACCCTTGAACCCTTGAACCCTGCAGAGCCCCTGAGCGCCCAACTCTCCAGGGCGCCGATGCGACGCGCTGCAACCTGGAATCCTCCGTGGAAGTCCTTGCAAAGAGCAGCCCTGAACTGGTTCGGGTTTAGGGTTTAAGGTTTGGGTTTGGGGTTTAGGTTTAGGGTTCAGGGCTTGAAGTCCTAGAGCCTAAGCCCCAGATTTACTCGGGGAGTTGAGGGACACGCACCCCCCCCCCCCCCCCCAAAGCTCATATTTGAATGAGGGCACCCCTTTTGAGGTTGGCTAGTTTATTATAAGGGAGCCGTGAACCAACAAAACGGGTAAAGTACACCACTGGCCTACCGAGTTGTGGGTCAGGGGGGTTTAGGGTTTAGGGTTTAGGGTTTAGGGTTTAGGGTTTAGGGCTAGAGGGTCCTCGTTGAAGTTCCACACGATGAAGAGCAATCGCGAAGTGCTCTGCACACCGCACCTCGTCTTTGGGACTCTTTCTGCCCCACCTTCCCCCCCCCCAGTCTCGGTTTCGGGTTTAGGGTTTAGGGTTGGGGGGTTGAGGGTTTAGCGACAACCCCCCGAAACCTAAGAAGCCCCACAAAGCTCAATCCGCATGGACCCTCAACCCCTGAGCCCAAAAAGGCCCCAATTTTCCTTAAAAAGCCACCTACTCCGAGATTTTGACTTACTCGGGTGCGGTTTCGTCGGTTGCACAGCATACCCGCTTTAGGGGGACCTCTGCCCGCGAGACCAACTCAGACCTCTTGGGAGGATCGAAAAAGGAGAACCCCCCAAATCGTACCCTATATACTAGCAGTGGGTCAACTTTTGGGATCCTCCCAGGGGGCAGGGAGAGTTCGGGTGCAGTGTGGCAAAGCGGGTCAGCCTCCCGGCGGGCGCGGTCTCCCAAGCCGAGTGACAAGGCGAGGTACGTCAGGGTGGAGAAATCAGACTCGAAGAACTCACCTGTCTTCAGCCCGAAGCTATACACCCCTTAGAACCTTAATAAACAAAATATTCTTAATATCCTCTTCAATTTTAAATAAACAGAAATTAAAAATAATTCCCAAGGGGGATGTATGAAGGAGGTCGAGCAGGCTTTGGTGTGGAGGTCTTAGAGCTTCTCCCCAAGTTGCCGGGCGTTGCGGGAGCTTTTTGGCTTGGAGGCCTGCACCCTAAACCCTGAAATCTAAACCCTAAACCCTAAACCCTAAACCCTGCAGGGAAGGGGGGAATGCCTGAATCCTAAACCCTAAATCTAAAACCTATAAGCGGACAAACCTAAACCGTGTAATTTGTCCAGGACCTGGCAGCTTCGAGGCTTCAGGGAGTTTTTTTTTTTTGAGGTGTTTCAAGGGGGGGGGGGGGAATGCTGATGGCCTTGAAGGCCGCCCGGCCCAGGGTTTAAGAGTTGCCTGGAGTAGGAGCGGGCCATCAGCAGTGGCAGGAGGCAGGATCCCAACAAGTAGAACCACCAAACAGCACGCTATACGCTTTTGGGGTCCTGTCGGAACCCTTAACGGGGTCTACTTTTTGGATCCTCCCAGGATTCTGGGACGCAAACCTTCCTGCACCAAACTGAGCGCTGGAACCCCCCCCCCCCCAAGTGACAAAACCCAATAGACCCAAGACGTGAACTCCTAAAAGCCCAAACACCAAACCCTAAACCCGAAACCCGAAACCCCAAACCCGAAACCCGAAACCCTAAACCCTAACCCCCCCTCCCCCCCCCCACACAGTGTGGGTCCTGGAAGTGATGGCACCAGGACGAAGAAAACGATGTTCAGCAGCTGGGAGCCTCAGGGAGTGGGGGGTTTAGGGTTAAGGGTTTAGGGTTTAGGGTTTGGGGTGATACCTGGATGCTTCAACAATACATTGATGGATATCGTACTGAACCGAAAGGTATCCTGAGGCCGCGGTATCGAGATCGAACCGAACCGAAGCGCACCGGTATCGAACAAATCGGTATCGCTATTGTCATCGATGTCCTTCCCCCTGAACCCTAAACCCTAGACCCTAAACCCTGAACCCTACACCTGCCCAAAAAATCAAAACGCCCCTAAAACTCCACAAGGCAGGCTCAAAGGCAAACAAGGGGGGAAAGGAAAGGGAGACCATCAACACCGAAACATGCCAAACGCCAAAAAACTAAGCCAGGGGGGCCAGAAGGACCCAGCCTACCACAACCCCAAACCTTGCCAAGGAAGGTGAACTTAGAAAGAAGAACGGGTGGGCAGGCTGTTGTTGAGGGGCACTTGCGGGTTAAGGTAACCCTTCACCTGAACCCTAAACCCTAAACCCTAAACCCTAAAGCCTAAACCCTAAACCCTAAACCCTATAACCCTAAACCCTAAACCCCAGTCTTCCAGCTGTTCTTGGCAGGCTGCTGGCCATGAGAAGGTTGGGCGGGATCCCCCGCGAGAGGAAGAGCCACATCAAGCAGCCCAACCTGGGTGCTGAAGGTTCAGGGTTTCAGGGCTTCGGCTTCGGCTTCCCTAAACCCTAAACCCTAAACCCTAAACCCTAAACCCTAAACCCTAAACCCTAAACCCTGAACCCTGAACCCTGAACCCTGAACCCTGAACCCTAAACCCTAAACTCTAAACCTTGGGAGCTTCGACTTCAGGTTGGGAAACGACACCCTCAACCCCCCGAAGGATGTAGGCTTGGTTGTTCAAGCCATGCGAGGTTTAGGGTTTAGTTTAGGGTTTAGGGTTTAGGGTTAAGGGCTTCGGGCTGAGGGTTTCGGGTTTAGGGCTTAGAGCCTCGGACTCTGGGACCTGCCCGTTTTCGGCTTCAGCAGGGTGTAAAAGCACACCTAATAAACAACCAACGAAAGCCCCCAAAGAACCCCCGAAGCCAGAAGCCCTGCATCTTGCCTATTAATGGAAACCCTAAACCCTAAACCCTAAACCCTAAACCCTAAACCCTAAACCCTAAACCCTAAACCCTAAACCCTAGCCCTAAACCCTAAACCCTTCTACATCAGGAGGCTCCTGATCTCCGTCTTTTTCCTACGACTGGAGCAGGCCAGAAATGCGCTGAGGTGTCTCCAGACTTTGGCAGCCCAGCAATCACTGCACCCATCCCAACTAGGTGGTTTTAGGGTGGAGGGTTTAGGGTTTAGGGTTTAGGGTTTAGGGTTTAGGGGATTTTAGGCTTTAGGGCGCAGAGTAGGGTAGCCTGAGCCTTGACAGGCTGACGTCAGCAGAACGCAAGGGCAAGAGCAAGAATGCCGACTTGAAGGCACATCGATGTGTCCAAGGAATCGAACCACCTGGTACCACTACTTGTCAGCCCTAAACCCTAAAGCCTAGACCCTTAAACTCCCTCAACCCTCAATCCTAAGCCTACCCGAAACCGACGCGGCGCCAGATGCGATCTGAAGACTATCTCAGCAGCACAACCATCGCCGGTCGGAACGCTGCAGGCGTCGGAAGTCGCAAAAGGCCATGCCCTAAACTCTCAAAGCCCTAGGTTTAAGAAACGTCCCAACAAAAACTTAGCCAAGTGGCGATGCCCCAAAGTAGAAGGTGATCCAGAGTGCGTGTTCGGAGGCAAACGTGTTTGTCCGGGAACCTGGAATAGGGTTTGGGGTTTAGGGTTTGGGGTTTAGGGTTTAGGATTTAGGCTTTAGGCTGCAACTCCTGCTTCCCTAAACACTCACATTCCTGCTGCTTGCTTAGTGGGTTGTACAAAGGACCTACAGCCCAAAACCCTAAAACCCTAAACCTTAAACCCTGAACCTTAAACCCGAAACCCTAAGTCCATAGCCATAAGGGGAAGGCAAGGTGTACCATTCGACTTGGAGTGCCAAGCTCCTCTGTGAGACACTAAAGTACTGAAGTCTTAAAGTTTAGCGGGCTTCGGGGTTAGGGTTTTAGGGTTTAGGATTTTTTGGGGTTTAGGGTTAGACCTACAAGTCTAGGGTGTAGGGTTTCTCTAAGGCCCCTTATGAGGGCCCATACATCGGAACCCTTTCATAAAGGCAAAGGGACCATGTTAACGGCGCATGGAACTACCCTCAGAGTTTAGGGTTCTAGCTCGCCCTACGGCTGCAACGAGTTGATTCCCCAAAACTTCAGTCAATCTCGGGTGTGCCAGTAGGGTGTTTTAACAATCTTGGGCTATGGTGTCTGGAGTATGGTGGGCACTCAGGGATTAAGGCTCATGGTGTTTAGGGTTTCGGGCTTGCAAAGATTTCGGGCTGAACCCTAAACCCTCAACCCTCAAACCCTCAACCCTCAACCCTCAACCCTAAACCCTAACCCTAAACCCTGTTGAAGATGTAGAAGACCAAGGGTTTGGCTTACGGCTTATGCCCTGACGCCTCGGCCTCTGGTGGTTTAGGATTGCGGGTTCCGGGGGGGCCCCCAACGCGAGTAAGGGTAAGGATCTGTTGACCTCCACATGTCCAGACCAGCCCCGAAGGGGGTAGGGTTTTTAGGAAACCCTGAACCCTAAACCCCAAACCCGACTGCTTAACCCTAAACCCTAGACCCTAAACCCTAAACCCTAAACCCTAGGATTGAGGGTTCTTGGGGATCAGAAAAACGTCAGGCCAGGCCACGCACGTCCACACTCTTCAGCAGGGTCTCGCCCACCGGCGAGAAGATGTAACCCAAGGCAATCACCTCGGGGGGGGTAGCAGCAGTCTGGGGTAGGAATTAAACCCTAAACCCTAAACCCTAAACCCTAAACCCTAAACCCCTAAACCCTGAGGGTTTTGGGGTTTAAGGGCTTAAGCAGGGTAAGAGTAGTCAGGTGCCACTGCTTCTGAGGGGGGGCGCGAACCAATGCTTCTGAAACCGGCGCAAACTATACCACTACACGCCTAAAGGGCGTCAGGTTTAGGGTTTAGGGTTTAGGGTTTAGGGTTTAGGGTTTAGGGTTTAGGGTTTAGGGTTTAGGGTTTAGGGTTTAGGGTTTAGGGTTTAGGGTTTAGGGTTTAGGGTTTAGGGTTTGTCAGGGCTTAAGGGTTGAAGCGTTCAAGGGTTTAGAGGGACATGCCTGTGGGGCATTGAGATGTTCAGTTTCAGGTCTCAGGGTTGAGGATGGTCCTCCTTGAGTAGCAGATAATATTACACACATACACTATTGCATTTTGTATACATACATATATATATATATACTCTTTGCATAATATGTACATATATACATATATATATATACTTCTCTATTTATTGTATAGTGTATGCACGTATATATATATATACACATTTATATATAATATGTACACGTACTAGACCCCGGCCCTCATCAGTTGAAATTCTCACTTCGTGCCAAACAGGGCTTTTAGGGTTTTACCCTGGGAAACCCTACACGGTTAACCCTAAACCCTAAACCCTAAACCCTAAACCCTAAACCCTAAACCCTAAACCCTAAACCCTAAACCCAAATCCTTACTGGAACGAAGAACAGGCCTTGCGTAAGCAAAGGGCATATAACCCGCAGATACCTAGTGAGCGCAGCGTTCCAATCATATTTAAGTTAAGGTGAAGATTACCATTGAGCAGGTGTTACGAAAGGATATGCATTGCATGTTCAAGTGTATGTGTTAAAGGGACCATAATGAGTTCAAATATGACTATCTGACTATCAGGCCAGCCAGATCGCAAATAGACAACTACTCATAACTAATCACGTGAAAGACTCCTGAAGAGTTTTGGGTATTCCTGAAGGGGGGGGGGGGGGGGGTATTGGGCTCTGTGGGTACTTAGTTGATCCCCCAAAAACGCGAAGCCTCAGCCTTTTTGGCCAGGAAGCCACGTGGATGCGGAGACAGATTCCCCTCGCAAAGGGCTTCATCAGCCTAGGCAGATACACGGGCACCTCGGGCTGGTACCCGCAACCGACCATAGGCCCTAAACCCTAAACCCTAAACCCTAAACCCTAAACCCTAAACCCTAAACCCTAAACCCTAAACCCTAAACCCTAAACCGAAACCCGAAACCCGAAACCCTAATCAAAACGCAGCTCGCAGATAGGACCTTGCGATGAGGGCATTCCTTGAAAACCACAGACATCCCGAAGGACCTCGCGAAATGGGGCTTTGGGGTTTCGGGTGTAGGGTTGAGCGCTGGAATCCTGAATAAGGTCCTCAAATTCCCTCCAAACCTTGAGGCCTCAAATGGGTATTTCCCAACATAGGGGTACCCCTTTTATACCCCAAATAGAATAGAGAACCCCCGAAAGGTTACCCTAAACCCTGAACCCTATTTTCGGTAACCCCCCCAAATCGGAGACAGACCAAGGTGCCACTGGGTGATGTGGCTTCGTTCTGTCAGCCGCTGATCAGCTTGGCAAATCCTTGGTCGAGAGCGGGCGTCCGGATGGGTGAGGGATTAGGGTTTAGTGGCTAGGGTTTAGGGTTTAAGGCTCAGCAGGGTTAGAGCATGGGCTGTGGGATTCGGGCTGAGTCCAAGCAGACTTCGCGTTACGGACTGCAGCAAAACGATAAAACCCTAAACCCTAAACCCTAAACCCCAAACCCTAAACCCTAAACCCCCACCCCACCCACCGCAGCAAAGCTGAGCCCAGCGCTGGCTCTGCAACTGCTCCGAGTCTTTCGGCTTCCCCCGGACCTCGGTGGGATGATGAGAGCCCTGAACTAGGGTTTAGGGTTTAGGGTTTTAGGGAGGGTTTGGGGTTTAGGGTTTCGGGTTTGGGGTTTAGGGTTTGGGTTTAGCGTGTAGAGCTTAGGGAGAAAACCCTATGTATGGTGCACCCTGTGGACACTGTGGAGTGTTGAGGCATCAGTGGGGTTCAGGGGTTCAGGGCCTTACTAAGGGGCGTCGCTTTCTAGGGCTTTAGGGTTTGTGGGGGTTCTGGGGCTGTTGGGCTGGAAGGTTGCTAACCTTTCGGGCCTGAGCATGTTAGGATTTTAGAGAGACTCTGGTTTGCAGGCCCCCTTTGGGCTGTTTGGGGTTGAGGGTTTTGCAGTTCAGGGCTTAGAGTTTCAAGTTTCGCCCCGGAGAGTTCGGGATTTCGGGTTCAAGAATCACAAAGCAGGCAGCGTTCTGTCAAAACGTTCCCTGCTTCCCCCGCTGAGTCTGCGGCTTCTTTCATGGCTGCCTGTGGCAATTGGGTTTAGGGTGTAGGGATGAGTGCTTCAGGTGTAGGGTTTCGGGTTGAAGAGGGGGCGCGTGGATCGGGGTCTCAGAGACTTGTAGTCCTAGGATGCTAGGTTGAAGGGCCCGGCTTCAGAGTTTAGTTCCTTTAGGCTTTAGGGTTGGTGCTTAGGAAGTACTCGCTCAGTGGTGTGGGTCTGGCATGAAGAAGCTGCTGCTGCCTTCATGAGCTCAAGCGTGCGAACGTCTCCAACACCCTGGGTCAGGAACTCGGCGTCTTCGTCGATGTCCTTAGGCTGGACAGCTTCAGATATGGACTAGCTATCTACATTTTCGTGGGAAACCCGTATACATGAACACCGCAAATGGGCCTACCTGCCGACACTGGCACGGGTGTTGGTTACGTGAAAGCGTGCCCCCCCCCCCCTCCCCCCCCCTCCCCCCCCCCTCCGTGTCTTCGTGATGAGCACCCCAAATAGTAGACCCTCAATCCAAATAGCCCCCTCAACTAACTGTCAAACCCGAAGAAACCCCTAAAGCACTAAGCAGACATAACGCTCATACTTAAGAATCCCCCGAACCACAAAACCCTGAACCCTGCGGCCGCTCAACCCTAATCCTACAGTCCAAAGCGACCCAACCTAAAGCCCTAAACCCTAAAACCCTACAACCCTAAAACGCTAAAACCCTAAAACCCTAAAACCAAAACACCCTAAAACCCAAAAACCCAAAAACCCAAAAACCCAAAAACCCAAAAACCCAAAAACCCAAAAACCCAAAAACCCAAAACCCCAAAAACCCGAAACCCTAAAACCCAAAAACCCGAAAACCCTAAACGCCCCTAAAGCCCCAAAACCCTAAACGCCGTAACCCCCCACAACCAGGAAGATCCTAACCTTCTGAGCCCCCTGGGGACCGCGCGAGCACTTGCATCTGATGCGCCACCTATTTGAAGGGCTCGAGGCAACCCCATGGCTTCGGGGTTTAAAGGTTGAGGGGTCTAGGGGTTGAGGGGTTGAGGGGTTGAGAGGTTTAGGGGTTTAGGGGTTTAGGGGTTTAGGGTTTAGGGTTTAGGGTTTGGGGTTTAGGGTTTAGGGTTAGGGGTTTAGGGTGTGGGGGTTACGTTTTGGGGTTTAGGCAGGCTGGTTGTTACTCTAGGAAGACGACCTTAAGAAGGAAAAGCCAAAAACACACAACGATTGCCATGGCGAGCTCTAGGTGGGAAACTCTGTGACAAAAACTATCACGACTCTTAACTTAGTTGCGTAACAGTGTACACTTTCAGTTATATAGGGGATTAGAGTATCCCAAAGTGTAAAGTGTACTTACTCAGCTACTCAGTTAACCAACGAACCAACCAAGTCAGCCCTAGACCGTAAACTTAAGACCCTACACCCTCCAAAGCTTCCGACAACAGATTGCCCGCAAGAAGCCCGGGATATTTTGTTTCCCAAACCCTAAACCCTACAAATCCTAAACCTTAAGCCCCAAAGCCTAGACCCGAAACTCTAGACGCGAAACCCTAAACTAACCTATTCATCAAAGATGTGTAAGTCAAGCCTACACCGGGAGATTTGCCCCAACCCTTCATCAACGCCCCAGCCGGATGCAGACGGGCCTGAGCGGTGGAGGACATTCGCCTCAAGGCCGTTTCGCGACGCGGGGCCATCAGGTCTCGAATGGCATCCTTGAGGGAGAGGCAGGGATGGATGGGGGAGGGGGGGTGGAGGGGGTGGAGGAAGGGTGGAGGGGAGGTGGAGGGGAGTTGGTGGGGGAGTGGGGAGTAGCCCCAAGCGGCGCAATGCATCTATGCCGAGAACGGCTGAGAACAAGTGCCTATAAGTATACCTGTTAACTGTTAACATGTACACATGTACCATGTATTGAAATTATACTAATTTGTAACTGCTTGTCACGCGAAGTCACGATGTCGAGAGAAACATGCGCACTATGTCGAGCAAGCTACGAAATTTCTGCTTGCAGATCGCATCCAATGGAGGCTCCATGAGACCAAGGGTTCTGGCTTCATGGAACTCGTCGTTGTGCATGTGCATCCGAGAATCTCGAAAATCGTTGGCGGGAACTGCTTCAAGACGTGTTCTCGACACGGCCACAAGATTTCGCGTAGCCGAACGAAAACCATATAAGGCATGGATAGCATCATTTCGACAGGAATTGCGCGTTCGGTCACAGCACCACTCATGTAGTCCGAGAAAGTCGAAAAGATCCTGGACACAGCCTGGTCGGAGCATTTTCAATTGTCTGCGTGTCTTTTGCCAATCCAGGCATTACAGTACATACAGGACAGATGCGCCGTCTTGACGCGAAAGAGCATGCTCCTGCACACAAATATTGCACAACCACATGGCTGTCGGAGTTACAGGCAGTTTCATACGAAACGCTTTCCAATTGGGTTGGCTTTCGATGCGTTTTCAAGTCATGGAACACACGAACGGAGAGACTGAGAGGACGGTCCGTCGGGTAAGAAATGGCATGCAAGATCATCATCGCTTCAGGGTGGGGAATAACTTCAATAAACAATCTAGGAGTCCATTGCTTTGCAGTAGCTAAGCCTAATGCCAAATAGACCCTAAAGGTCCGAGGTACATATATGTATATGCGTAGATGCATATGTGCATGTACGTGTGCATGTACATGCATTTGAGTGTGCAAAGGTACTAAATCGACCTGGAGCATGGAGATGTTTGCTGATGTCTGTCTATACATACTACAGGCCCGATGCATCGAGGATTCTTGCGTGGCACAGCTTCCCGGGGCTTTCCGTGCTTTTTTGTGTGTCAAATAGCCAGGCTCACGATTCAGTTTTGGACATTCCGAAGTCCTAAGCCCTGTAGACCCTCAACCCTATGTCCTAAACTCTATAAAGCCTAAACCCCAAACACCATAAACCCTTAGACCCTTAACCCTTAGACCCGAAAGCCTAGACTCTATACAGTCTATACAGCCTAGACCCAAAAACATCGTCAACCCTAAAGCCGATCCTCCACCTAACCTAAGCCCATAAATCCTAGACCCTAATCTAGGATATAGGGTTGAGGGTTCAGGGTTCAGGGTTAAGGGTTCTGAGTTCAGGATTTAGGGTCTATAGGGTGCTAGGGTTCAGGGTTCCAGGGTTTTGGGTGGCAGGATGCCAGGGTAAGACCCTAAACCCTAAACCCTAAACCCTAAACCCTAAACCCTAAACCCTAAACCCTAAACCCTAAACCCTAAACCCTAAACCCTAAACCCTAAACCCTAAACCCTAAACCCTAAACCCTAAGCCCAGGCCAAGCTGCAACGATCATGCTCGCGTCCCGGAAGAGCACATTGGTTCGGTCGCTTTTGGCCTGAGGTTGAGGCTTTGTGGGGTTTATAGGGGCTTAGCGCTTATAATATATATATATATATATATATATTTATTTATTTATATGTATATTATATGTATATTATATATATAATATGGTTTTTAAGTTTTTCGGGCTTATAGGGTCAGGGGTTGGGCTTATAGGGTTAGGAGGATTTGGGGCTGAGGGTTGGGTGTACAGGCTTTGAGGCTTGGGGCTTAAGTCCAGAAAGGGATCCAGGGTCCCAGAAACACGTTCGGGGTGAAACCCTAAACCCTAAATCTCACACCCTGAACCCCAATATGAACTACAACCCTGAAGCCTGCAGCGACTAGAAGATTCTCGCATCCTAAACTGTCCCCACTCCAACTACCCCCCCCCCCCCCCCCCCCCCCCCCCCCCAACATCTGGCCCGAGCCAGACTTAGTTAAAGGCTTTTGTGGTGTTTAGGGTGGAGGCATTACCTTTGCCTTATTGACATGCAGAAATTCCCGAGAATGAAAGGCTGCACAACAGTTTTCGGGCCTTGGTTTTAGGGTTTGGGAGAAGCTACACTCACTCTAATTCAGTACAAATCATTGCAGAAACCCTCTGCAGTGTACAGTATACATCAGATACTAAGATAGTAAGAACCCCCCCCCCCCCCCTGCCCCCCCCCCCTTTAGGGTAACACAGGGATCTTATTCTGTTTCATGTTTGGGGGTTCGTAAGCAAATAGTAGTAGAAGAGCCAGATCTCAGGGTACTTCGGGCCTGCAGCATTAGTCCTGAATGTCGAGCAAGCTGCCGGGGCAAAGTTGGACATTGCCTTGGAGTAGGCGCCTCCGCGGGAACCCGATATACTTTTGGGGGGAGCCAAGGCTTCTAACTCCCTTGAACCCTAAACCTTAAAATTTAAACCCTAAACCCTAAACCCTGAAGTTTGAGGGTTTGGGGCTTGGACGAGATCGCTGTGCGTGGTCGGCCCTAACCGCTTTTAACTTTAGTTTGAATAAGGTTTAAGCCATCGGAAGACCCAGAAAGCATGCTCAATCTCTACCTCAGCAGACCCCCCCCCCCCCCACAACTGATCACGTCCTAGACCGCAAACGCAAGGCCTAAATCCTGGTACTCAGAGCCCTTAACCCCTCAAGCCCAAAAACCTCATACCTAAAATTAACCCTACACCCTAAACCCGAAACCTAAACCTCAAAGGCTGAGGGTCCAGGCTTTAGGCGTAAAAGCCCCGAGGAGGTCCAAGAGCCGGCACGCTCTCTAAACCGGAGACCTCAAACTAGGGTTTAAGGTTTAGGCTAAGTCCATCAAGCCCCATAAGCCGAACTCCTAAACCCCCTAAACCCAAACTCCTAAACCCCCTAAAACCTCACCCTAAACCCTAAACCCTAACCCTGAACTCCTGACTTCGTTTGTCAAGCGCCTAAGAGGTTCTCGCGCCAGGTGTCGAAGGGAAACTCTGCCTTGCAGAGAGAGGGGGGGGGGAACCCTAAACCGGAAACCCTAAACCCTAAACCCTAGCTTTAAGGTTTGGGGTTGAGAGGTTTTACGGGTCTGGGACCCTAAACCTTAGGCCCTCTCGTCGTCCGGGGCTCTTTCTGTAGGGTGTAGGTCTAGGGTTTAGGGTTTAGGGTTTAGAGTTTAGGGTTTAGGGTTGCTGGCGAGGTGTCTCGGTGCCGGTGCTGGAGTAGGGATAAGGCTCACATGGGAGCAGGACATGCGAAGCGCAAGAAGTTTAGGGCCTTTAGGCGTTTAGGGTTGAACCCGCAGACGCCCTAAAACCACAAGCCCCAGGCAGGAACCGCCCGGCCTAGACTGCCCGACACCCTGAACCCTAAACCCCCTAAACCCCCTAAACCCGAAAAGCCCTAAACCCTAAACTCCCTAAACTCCCTAAACCCTATAAACCCTAGACCCTAGACCCTAAACCCTGCAAACCCTAGACCCTAGACCCTAGACCCTAGACCCCAGACCCTAGACCCTAGACCCTAAACCCAAAACCCTAAACCCTAAACCCTAAACCCTAACCCAAAACCCTAAACCCTAAACCCTAAACCCTAAACCCTACACCGCAGTTGGGGGGCCTTAGTGGCGGCTAACGCCATCTCCCAGTAGTCTGGCTCAGGCCTGGGGAGCAGGATCCTTTTTGGGGACCTCATGAACCCTAAAACTGGGTTTAGGGTTCAGGATTTGGGGTTTAGGGTTTAGGGCTTGGGGTTTAGGATTTAGGGGGGTTGAGGGTTTAGGGTTTAGGGTTTAGGGAAGTCCACAAGGATCCGTGAGGTCAATGAGCCGCTCGCTGCTTTTGGACTCTTAGGATTTAGGGTTTAAGATTTGGAACGCAGGGCTCGGGGCTGCTTAGAGACATTTGGGGTTTAGGGTTTAGTGCTTTAGGGTTTAGGGTTTAGTGCTTCTAGGGTTTAGGCAGGGATATAGGGTTCGGGGTTCGTCGGGTTTTGGCTTCAAGTTTTTAGGGTCTAGACTTGAGGAAGGCAAGGCCAGGTGAAGGTCCGTGGCCCAGGGATCTCCCCACCACTCATTCCCACTTACTCTTAGGGCTTAGGGTTTTGGATGTCGGGTTTGAGGTTTGGCGTTTAGGGAATCTGTGGTTAAGGGTTTCGGGGTATCTGATCTGGTGTATCTTGGGTTTAGGCCTGAAGTAGCGCTTCCGCGCACCTGGAGCTATACAATAGGTTTGAGGTGGGGGGGTTTGGAAGGCAAATTCTGGAGCTATATAGGTTTGAGGTGGGGGGTTTGGAAGTCAAATTCTTGCCTTCTTGGTGCAGAACCTTCCCTGAGCCCTACTGGAATTACGCCCTGAATCCTATACTCAACCCTTGACTGCATGAACCTCGAAGGGAAGTTACCT